GGCTGGAGTGTTTGGATTGTCAGAGTTCCCCTCTGTTTTGATATGATAAACACATTTTACCTGAAAAAAACAATTTGTTTCTTAAAAGAATATAAATACTGGAACAAATTACCCTTATCATATACTGTTCTACATAATCTACATCAGTTAAAGGTGCAGTCAGTGAATCAAATTCATTATACATTGTCATATTCAGCAAATTTGTCCTCACATTCCTCTTTCTGACCTTCCAGTTTGTGGTACATGGGGTGCATTAGAGTTGAGCCATCTCAGTGTTGTGGACCCAAAACACCAGTTAGTGAGAGGGTGCCCACCTGACGCCCCTGCAGACTTGCCTTTACTCCTACACCCACACAGAACTTGTACTGGTGTTGATAACAATTATTGACTCACAGTAGGGTAGTCTTCTTTTGTTTGACAGTAGAACAGCATCAGTGGTTGGACACCTGAGCGGACCCAGCTCTCAGAGGTGACTGCCATTACAACCCAGTCGGACCAGCCAGATGCTTAACCTTAGCAAATACAATGCAGATGCTATGTGTCGAGCCACATATCTGTGAATTGTTTGACTGAGGACAGGGTTCAGGGATGCTTTGTGTTGAGGGAAGGTTAGGTCTGGAGAATGGTCTTGCTTATTGTGGGTCTCTGAAGATTTATGACAGCATGGCCTGACACCCCCTGTTTGGGGCCAAATAATGGGCAAACATCATTTAGCTTGTATACTGAGCTTCTATGTGAATGCTCTCCCATTCTTTGGCACATTTAATTGTGTATTATTAACCTGACCTTCCAGTTTGTGAGACAGTTTGGGGTAAGAATGGTGCATTAGAGTTCAGAATTTTGCAGCATGACCACAAAGCCAAAAGGAAGAGATGGCTGAACACATTTCCACTATTTCCAGTTACATCTGACACAGCTTAACAACCAAGGAGGAAAAAGAACAAAGAACAAAAACTGAAAAAGAAGGGCTATAATCAGGAAAGGTCAAAGATGTGTAAAGATAGCTACAGTATGTATGTCTTATCCCAAAGATGGAAAGCCCTCTGAGATTTAAAAGGGGATGAGGATGGATGCAGAGGTTACTCTCCTTCTGCTGGACAGGTGGGCAGCTTGTTTACTATGTTCCACTGAAAATTGTTATGGTCAATATGATGTTTTTCAAATTGGTAATCTTAATGTTATGGTAGCAAATTACATTATCCAAGTCATGCTAAATCAACTTTTCCTGGGAAGTTCAGCTAAACTGCTGAATGTAAACACTTTTTGTCAGAAGCACCGACTTTACCTCCAAGGAAATATTCTGCAACACCTCGATATCCAAAACCAAGTTGCGCTATGAGGTATCATTAAGACAGAGAATAAAAATGAACACAATGTTTTGAATATCAAGGTACAATATACATCGACACCATGAGTAAATGGTCATTTGTCCTACAATGGGTAAAATTTGCAGTGTTCTAAACTGATGACACAGAATTATCTGAAAAAGATATCAAACCAAAAACCACATCACAGTCCAGGAAGGACATTTTATGTTCACTCACCATGCTCTGTAATTGTCAAACCACAAAAAGGAAAATGGGTCTACCACGCGCTGTGTTACTCTTTGTGGAAAGAGTAATATGATACTATTCAAGTTGTCTCCCAAATTCTCCACCTGTAAGTAAAGAACTTTTGAGAAATAAAACTGATGCCATAAACAAACATACCGCTAGCTTCATAAATAGTATTATATTGGATATTATTGGAACTCTGGGACAAAATAGCTCTTATGATACTAAAATTCTTCAAAATAGCTTGACACCTCAGCCAAAATGCTGAGATAGCTCAATTCTCCTTCAGAGACTATTTAAAACTTTTAAAGAGTGTTATAACTGGGTCATTATCCATCTTAAGTCATCTCAGCATTTACCGTATGTCCTGATAAGACAGTGTTTTGTAACACTGCCTCATCAGTTCTAGCTTTGCACTAGTGCAACACAAACCAGAGGGGGCAATGAGTTTCTGGCAGGACAGAACCCAGACCACACTGTGCCCATAATTGGAACCCTCCAGAGAGCCAAGTCAAAATGATTCCCTGGCAAGCAGCATGCAGAAGAGCTGGAGCCACTTGGGGCCATCCTGTCATGAGATACAATATCAATCTGAGCTCAATGGAACTGCAGTGCTACATACACCAAAAGGGTGTACAAGCCACAAAACACTGACTACATGTACTCTACACACACATTCAGATACCATTTATCTTAGCAGGAAAACATCCTATTCATCTTATTAGACCACTACAGAGGGGGCCGGGGCAAAGTGTCATTTAATTTCAATTAAACAGCCTTAACTGACAGAGTAAAGGATATAATTTTACCACAAAGAACTAACCAAAATAAATGACATTTGACCTGTAGACCTTGATATGAGTGACTGCTCATCTTTCCACCGGGAGCCTGGTAACCATTGAAAAACATCATTAAAAGAGCTATTGTGCCCTAACACTCCTGTCTTATTACAGGGGTAACCCCCATAATAAGATAATCACATCTAACAGATTTCCTAAAGTTTTCCCACAGTAACTACCCACATGCACACATCTACAGTTAAATACTCTGTGTATGAACTTTGTGCTCTTTGGCCCAGACTCAAAGTCTTTCTTTAATTCATTCAAAATACCAACTCCAAAAGATGTAAGTATCATGAGACATTCTTTCATGACAGGTCATATTTAAATGATATAATGTGGGAGCAAGGCAATATTAAGGCCCAGAGCAAAAGCTGCCCCCCTCCCACAAGCCAATAGATAGATAGATACTGATAGTGCTGCAGATAATGAAAAGCATCTGAAACATTCCAGACACTGCACAGTAGGGTTCTTGATTATTTAAGAGGTCGAAGGACTTGTAAGTAGGTAGACACAGTAGAAAACTCCCCAAGATAAGGTTACTGGGGTGCTATATAGACAAAAAGTGCTTTTGGCTTTAGTGTGCACAGTTACAGAAAAGCCAAAGAACACCCATGTACCAAGTCCATCGGTAGATTTTCAGAATCAGGATCATCTTTACTTGCCAATTATATTTGAAGGGAACAGGAATTTGACTCTGGTACAGTGCATCTCAATGTCTTGTAAGGCAAAAGGAATAGAAAGTAACAATGAGAATAAAAATAAAAAGTAGACCAATAAAAATGAGAATGAGAAAAAACTGTTTAAGATGACTGTGTTTGAATCAGTGGTTGCTACTGCAGTGGCTTTTCTGTCTGTCCACAAATAATTTAGAATGACAGAAAGCACATCAGTTATACCTTGCAGGCTCACCAGACACACTCATAGTGGTGGTGAAACAGCTTCTGAAGATCCTATAAAAGCCACCCTGGGGGTGCAAAGATGGCAACAAGATCAATTTGCCTAAAGTCTATTTGCAGTGTGACACCTGCTGTGTCTTGAAGACCCTATAAACAGGCTATCTTGACATTTCTTTCAGGCTTCCCTAATGCATATATTGGATAATTAACAACAATTTATACCTTTCTTATGTGTGTGTAATTGTGACATGAAGCTATGCCAGAAAATGTGATAATTTTGTACCATAACCCTTTATCACTGCCCTAAATGTCCTGGAAAAAAAAATAGACATCATTGCCTCACACATCAACACTAACACCTAGAAACTTAAAACTGTTCAAACAAATACAAAGCAATTTGGACCAGATGTGTCATTTAGTCGGGGAACCACAAACATTTTGTCCACTTATGTTTGTCAGTGGAGCGAGCTGTCAGAAAGATAGCGAAGGTGTAAAAAGACGGCATTGAACTCCCAGTGATGTGAACTGAGCATGGAGGGCAGATCAAGAACCCAGTAAAGAAGACCAGGCTTGTTAGGCTAAGAATACAGGATGTTCTCCCATGAAATCAGCACTCACTAGTTGCAGTAAACATCTGAGTCATTTTCTCCATCATTTTTCAGTCACCAGGGACACTCATCATCCTAATTCCAATCCTAGAGAATACCAAAATGCACACTGTCCCTAATAATGTTAAGGACTATATCATAAGCATATTTAATCATAAACTACTGTACAACCATTAGTTTACTGCTGCTGTTTGAGGCAACCATTAGTCAACAAAGTAACCGCTCTGGTATTTGACATGCCATATTCAGGGAATCTAAATGCATCTTTGACACAGTAATGATAAGCACACAAGAGCCCATCAGCCACTTCAGTGAAATAAACTATAATCTAGATGATCCACTTTACTCCGGATCAGAAAGAAACACAATGCCTTGAATGGTGTCTTTTTTTAACCTTAGAACTGTCACCTGTTAAAATGTATTAAGTGAGTACAACCTTCCAGCTGTCAGAAATATGTTGTCCAAACTGACATCCAACTAAAACCCAGTGATGCAAACATGACTGCTCCCATGCATGACAGCCTAATTGGTCCATTCCTGACCAGACAATGGAGCTGTCTGCAAACCACCCACTGTCAAGAAAAAGTATTCTACATACCAAAGTGCCCACAGTACTTCATCACAAGTTGTTCAGAGAAGACAAGCTTTTGTTTTATGTTATTTCAGATGTATTAAGGCCAATCAAAAAAAAAGTTCAGTTTAACTTCACTTTATTCCTTATAAAGAAATATGATGGTTGTGTTTTCTGATACAACCTTTAGGTGGTTCTTTCAGTTTGCATTTTATTTATTGTAGCAGGTAGACTGCATATCTGTTGGTGCTATAACTAGGACATGAGCAAAATATACTGTGAATTAATAACCTATAGAGGAAATACACATCAGCTGGTTTGGTAATGAACCACTAACCCAATGCACTGAGTGTAGTGTGTGTGTGTGTCTGTGTATTATAATGACCTTCAAAGGAGTAGGTCACATGCAAGCCTAAGGATAAAGGAAATGCATACATACAACAGGTTAAACAATAAGTTCTGGCACCATGCTTGTTAGACTGTAGCCATCACTTCCTTTTAGTAACAGGGCTATCAGACGGGAAGCATACATTTTTCTTGCACATTAGTTTGATGTGCATGGGAACCAAGACATTGTTAATCTTACTGGCTGCATACTGAGTATTGACTATTGGGTACTGACTGAAAACACCAGACAAACTGGGGAGTAAGGATTTTGAAAACTGGTTAAAATGTATCCACAAACTAGGATTCATTTAAACCAGTGATTACCTTTCCGGTTACTAACTGACAAGCACCGATACCCATCATCCTCCTCGTCTGGTAGAGTGTGGCACTCCACCGGGAGGCGTCCCTCATCCAGGAGCATCCAGCAACTGTCCCGCAAGACTTCACAGAAACTCCGGCAAGGCAATACCGGCAGAGGACCCTGAGAGCCACACTTTGGTACCAAGAGAAGGCAGAAAAACCACTCCAAGCTATGGTGACAATGTGACCTCAAGAGCCATGCCCACTCATTCAGGAGTGCTTGGACTTCCTCAACACTGCTCTGGCTGAGGTAATTGGGCAGAACAAACCTTTCCCCAACCATGAAGGAGCAGAAAGGAAGAGCAGTATCCAGCAACAAGCACTGTGGTGATTCTACAACCAGTGCTAATTTAGCTGCTTCAGTGTGGCTTTCAGCTGGTACCTGGCTATCTGCAGTTGTCTGGCTAAAATCGACCACTTGGTTATGCTCTTGTCCACTTACTTTTGTTTGTATAGCATCTAAGCCATGAGTGATTTGGCTGGCTGCCACATGGCTAGCTGCCAATGCAGAATTACGCAGTTGAGGTTGGATAGCTATAGGAATAAAGGCCATAGCTGTTTGTGGTTGGGAATCTAACAGTTTTCGTCTATTTGTTGGTGTCTGGGTTGTCGAAAATGCCTGGGTAACAAATGAAGCTTGGCTAGTCTGTAACACTTGGTTAGGTAAAGCTTCATGTGTAGCTGCTGATTCACCAGCAGGTAGCTGACTAACGTCCATTAATTGGTTGTTCTTAAGTATCTGGGCGGTGTCTACTGAGGTGTTACCTACTGAGCAACTTCCACTAATTGGTTGTTCTTAAGTACCTGGGCGGTGTCTACTGAGGTGTTACCTACAACTACAGTTTGAAAGCCTCCTGGAGTAGAGTTTTCATGGGAATACTTTGTCAAATCAAAGTTACTGTTAAGTGTTTTATTTCCACTGGTGTTACTGGGGGTTTCAACAAAGAACCTGCCTCCACTGTCTAACCTCCTGTGATGAGTGGGCAACACTTCTTCTTTTTGGTTTTTGTCAGAAAACTCCAATGTTTCAAAGCCAGATCTCCAGCTAGTCTTTGCTCCTGTTGCAAATCCAGATTCAGACCAAAGACCTGACCTTGTGTCAGTTGCCAATTTAGACTCGAGCACAGATCCAAGTCCTGACACATTTCCTATAAATCTTAAATGATCAGATCCTTCAGAACCTATAGCCTTTAGTGAAGATGTGCTGTTACCAGGTTTTCTTATGTGTGATGAAATCCCCACTGTGTCCTTTTCTGATGCCCAGTCATTCTCCGGTTGTGTTGTTGCTATTAGAATCGTCAGTGGAGGAGCCTCCGTGTTCTCATCCCAAGTCTGTATAACCTTCTGAATCCCACGTCCCTCATCAATGACTTCTGCTCGAACTGTGTCCTCTGTTAGCTGTTCTCCACTACCTGTTGGACTGCCAGACCCATCATGGTCCACCACTGGAGCCAAAGTTGTGGAACCAGTCCAGGGCCAGAACCAAGAATCAGAGTACACCACCCACTGGGCCAGCAAACACAAAACTCCAAATTGGGTCCTCATGTTGAGTATAATCACAAGTCTTAAACACATCCAGCTGCTTAATCAGTGTGAACTATGACATGTCCACACGGCCACTACACTCCTCACACACACTTTCCTGCAGCTCTGTTTCTATATGCGCTTCCCTAGGCACAGAACAGTGAAGAGGAGTGCCTTATTCAAAAGAGAAAAGGGGAGACCAGGAGGAGGTGTAAACTGTATTGGCTGTCCTGCAATATTTCCTCTAACTCCTCCTTCCTCCTTTTGTCACAGCAGTGAAAAGTGATCTCTGTCTCTCCTGAGTGATAATTTACAATCACAGCAGCCACAGCAGTACTGATGCTTTCAAAGTTTTACAGAAAGTGACAACTTGTTCCCCATATCTTGTTCTTTAAAGCCTGATAATAAGAAACTACAGATCTAACTTTAAAAACTGCAAATTATGTGAAACTGCAGTTTTCTGATTTCAGTTTTCAGCTACAAGAACTGAATGCGGTGCTATAATGTGGTGAATGTTTGGACTGCAAAGGAGCTGTGCATAATTCCTTCTAATAGATTAAAATTTCACCACAGTAGTGGAACCAATTACTCAACAAGGTTGCTGTTGTGATATACTGTGACATGTTTAATAATTTATATAATCTAACAGCAGTAGATAATTACAGTAACTGTATCTTTGTAAAGGATAATTGTAAAATGCACAGCTACACATATCTATAACAGCACAATTTAAAACCAATAAGTCTAAAGAAGTTCAATCCACTGGAGCCAGTATTTTTTATTAACAGTTTGTCTTCATATTCACAGAAGGTGTCAAATTCATCAGTGTATTTGCTTCCACCAGCTTGGGTGTACCAAAAAACCTAATGCCCCTGCAATCATTGTCCCTGTTGTATTTGTTTGTCAATCCAGTTTAGACCCCTGTCGTCAGTGTTCTATAGTTCCAGGCCTCACTGTCTTGTCCAGACTGGTTTCTCATACTACCTATGGGATCAGTTGACAGAGACCCTTGACATCTGCTAATGGAAGCTTAGTGATAAAAAGTACTGGGGTTTAAAATAAAGGTGTTTTGTGCATATAACCTCTCACGTGTTGATAGAGAGGAACTCGAGCTATTTGTGCACAGCATGCTGCCATCCCTGTAAGAGGTCCCAGACGTCTGTGCTGAGATGCAGAAATGTTTCAACTAAAGCTTGACAACTTTTTCCTTTAGTTTTCCATCATGGCCTGGGGCCACTGATGATCCAGCTGACCCCTGTCTGCATGACTGTTTATTTGGTCTAACAAAGGGCAGGGTGAACAACTGAAACATCAAAGATTTGATTTTATAAGTGATTTGAAAGTCAAGCTAAATTAACATATCAAAGCAAAAATCCAGCCAACATACAACACCCTTTAGTTCAGTGAAGTACAATAAATGTAGACTAGTTAATACTCTGGGCAAGGAGTTAACACCAAGACCACCAACAATTCCTTTATGGCTGTTGCATGAAGACAAAGAATGAAGAACCACATCTTTCTGTGGGAAAATAATGTTCCACGTGACTTTCAAGTAATTTTAGGCAAAAAAGGAACAACCATGAAGTATTTCATGACACATTTAAAGCAGGTTGCTGATGTGTTCTCAGTGTTGAGACAATTTTGTCATGGTCAGCCAACCTCAGTGATCCAATCTGCTCTTTTACTACATGACATGTTAAATCTTAATGATTTTCAAATCCAGACAAAAACAAGAACTCACCTGAAAATTCTGTATTATCAGGGGAATACAACCAGTGTTATTATTCCAAAGGTGATGGAAAATTAGCCTGAGGGTGTGCTCATATGGTCTCCAGGATAAGAGATTTCACTGGGTTTTTAAATTTCATACAAACAAAAAAAGTTGGGAAACTTGCCAAACAGTCTCAGGTGGGCAAAAACACACCCTGTCACCTTGTCAAAAGAAAATCATCAACTTATTTTGATAAAAAACCTGATCAGAAAAAAGCCAAATTACACTTAATGAATTCAGTACATCTGCCCTTTGAGAGCGAGGTTTTTTTCAGCACAGGTAATTTGAAGTAATCTGCATATATTATGAGTAGCTCTACCACTGCCTGCTTACAGTACAGACAAGACAGAATGTAGCTAAATACTGCAGAGAGGGTGCCCATTTCTGGGGAAATCAAACTTAGACATCACATAAGCAGTTCTTCTAATATGTATTTCAAAAACAGGGATTAATATTGAGTCTCGATGTCAGCAGAGCAGCAGCAGCTTCAGTCCTCTGTCTGCATCTACACAAGATGCTTTCTGTCCTCACAATACACAGGCAAAAGCATGAAACCTAAGACCAGGAGTGAGTCTGACAGCTGAGACCATCAATGGGAGGATGAATGATTGACTAATTACAACGGCAACAAAATCTGCCGAACATAATCCGTGAAGGGCCAAAGGCGTGCCATTATCTGTCAATGCACGGCCATACTGTCAGATATCACATTTCATATTCAGAGTGCCATTTTCATTGGTGGTATATATAGCTGTTGTGAATAAGTGACAAATAGGAGGCCATACCTATGCAACACAATATCCTAACACTTCCACAACTGAACTGCATGATGACACTAGGCAGCGTATCATTTTTACCCAACGTGTAACTGCTGCACAAACAGAAATGTGAGAAGTAAGACACTTCGTTATAGCACAACCTGACAATGCAACAACGTGAGTGTTCTTCTCTGTAGCCTTTAGAACAACTAGACAGCTAGACCCCCCCAACCCCTCCCCTGCACCTT